TTTCTTACACATAGTTAAATCATGTGAGTACGTGTGAGATATTTATTTCCACCAGCTATTACACGCATGAATTATGACAAAGCAAATGTCTGTGACAGATTTTTTTTAAATACTTTTTCTCGATAGTTCATACTGACGGACAAACCAGATTATGGTCATAAACGAAAACTGTAGTACTCGTTAGATTAGAATCATACAAACTCTTACGCATGTGCAATGAACGTTATTGTAGGTACCATCAAGCAAATACTCAGTTAGATATACTCTACAAAAACAGCGTTTTCATTTTATGATACACCATCTTCCCGAATGTGTTTATAAACACACACTATCAAACAATGCTGAAAATTACATGTCTATATTTCATTTTAAAAATAACTCTCATATTATGTAGATTTAGTATAAATACATAAATTAGGAAGTCGTGAATGAATAAATGAATTAATTAAAATTTCTGAATTAATGACTCTTTGAATGAATGAAACAAGAATCGTATACTATCTAGATATCTACAAACAATGGCACTATGTCTTGATTCCCCAAATCGTAATTGACTATTTTGGTAATCAAAAAGCAATTTGTTTCTAACAACGCCATTACTGTGTGTCAATAGAAGAGTGGTAGTGATTTTACAGATATAAATTTGTGTTGTTCCCGAGGATAGAAACACTGATCGACTAGCAGTCAATTCCTATCACGCTACCATTACTCCTACACCTGGCGGCAACATGCGCTGTTTCCAACGTAATTTGGCTCAAGCACAGCCGACACTGAGAACACCAATTGAAGGCATTGATGAAGACTTTCCTCGGGTCAATTGACAATGCAATTTAGTACATGACGTGAGAGGCAAGCAGTAGAAGTCAAACAGTGTGGCCTTATCTGACAAACTCCAGATGAGTTCTACTCTCGATCAATTCATGCATGCTTGAATCTCAGGTTGGCACAGGTTGTCAGTGTCATCTATACCATTTTATAATATTCAAGATCAAACGTCAACAGCAAAGGCTAAACGGCATGATTTTCCAACCATTGAGAAATCCTCTGGAAACGCGTCGAAAAATGTAACGTCATGTAACATCAAACACGCCACATTTCGGAAAGTGCTTAAAGTTACGGGTTTGATTAGCACCAGGCTTGCTCCACATTTAACAAAATAATGTTCTGCAGACTTTAATTAGCTATTATACCATATCTTAAATAAACATTTCAGACCAATATTCCTAGTATTCTTTCTTCGTCATCATAATGAGAATCAGCACGCAATAAACTATCATAATGTACATTTCCATCTGTGCCTACCCTTGGTATTCGTGTGCCCAATTAAACAATCAGCGCTGTGAGGGTAACGTTAACAAAATCTAACTCAGATAGGCTTTGATTCATAATTGGATAGATCTAACACGAATGATACCCGTATTGAACTCTAACTTGGGTCCACGTTCTTTTCAGTAAAATAGGCGCTCACAACATTGATTATACACACACTTTCAGCATTAAGTGTTATTAAAAATGAAAACTATATAAAAAAAAACAGAAAAACTTCAAGTTGAAGAAGAAAAAAGAAATGTTGTTGGAAAGTCAAAGATCAAGTTTATTTTGTTTCAAAATTCATTTTTAATCAACACAACTGAAAAATATATACATATATATAATTAGACGACGAGCATAGAGGCTAATTACACGCTGCGAATACGATAGGATGCTACTTGATACTCAACTCGCATGCTTTACTTGTTTACTCTTCTTTTTGTCCTGAGAAGGGTTTTAAAGAAGGGTTAGTTATCCTCTCAAGCAGCAGCTAATTGTCTAGAGACGGAGGGAGTATCCTCAATTCTTTTGTGAAAGACAGAAGTTGACGCGTTGAGGAAATTAGGCTTGCGAGTTGAATTGATTGTTAATTCACCTTGCGAATTTGTTAGAATGCCTGCCTCTCCATTTTTTATGAGAAAAGTACTTGATCTTTGTCATTAAAAAGTCTGTCGTTTTACACGCTTAGAATCTTAATCAATTACACTATGAATTACAAATCGGTGCTCACGCTAAACAAAAAAAAATCTAAAAATAAATCAAGGTGGATAATATGTATAAACGACGGCTGTATTTGAAGCCATGGCCATTTCGCCAATGATTGAGACACGCACGTGTACAAACCACCTTTGAATGAATCACATACTCCGTAACAATGTAGATACACTAATCAACGCAAAAACGTGATGGTGTTTTTTTTAAATTACAGGCGTCCAGCTATTAAGCAGACACGGCACATCCGGGCACATTTTGACGTGTTTACTCAAAAGGGACGTGTATGCCCAAGTGAATTGAATGCGTAATTGGGCATGCACATCCAAGCATATTTGGAATAGGCATTTGACCTCGTTAAACAATACTTTAATCAGCCTGTGTAAACTAAAAGTTTGAATATCCATTACAGTTTTATAGAAAGCTGATTGTAATGTAACACAGCGTCGTGGATGTGACATCGGGTGGAAGGAGAGAGTTCTTGATTCATCGTCAAAACCATTCAGTGCATTATTGCGAACCCATCAATCGCTGTCACGGAATTAGATATTCAATTGAATGTGATTGAAGCATTTGTCAGTCTTGGGCCTTCTTCGCTCATACAATGGATCCAATCGATGCAGTCACTATGTATCATCCATCGCCCAGCCTTACGTCGCTCTAGAAGCTGGCAGGTGAACTACGACTCAAATCTCCGATGTTTTATTGTACCGGAAATGCGCCTTTCACCGTAAGATATGACACCAAAGTGAAAAACCAAATTAAATTAATAGCAGGCGCTATGACAAATGTGATTACAACAAAATGCATCTAGTTAGTAGCAGTCGACCATTAGCCCACACTGAAGTGATTAAACAGGACACCCGTCAGCTATTACTATCTTTCTGTAATCATGATACCATCTCAAATTAGAAATTACTTCATCCTTTTGATGCGCGACAAATAAGACATGATCAATTTGACGAAGCTCTACTTGGCCTACTTTCAAAATAATTATTATGGAAATAAAATTAGAGAATGAACGAATGTGCTCATTTCACTGGACTAACTACGTCACGGAGATTCAATTTACACAGACATGTATGTATCTTCCTTCAGTCTTCTTAAGTAGGGACAGCAGGATTCCCTTGATCATTTTCAGAATTTTAGTGTTTTGAATAGGATGTCAGATTTCACAAGGCGCTCAACACTTCACTTCGATCTTAACGCGGCTAACACATTTAATTCCCAAATCGTGTAGAGCAACCCGACGCTTCCGTACAAGCCAACTATCAAATATCTAGCCCTCCTTAATATCATGCAGAAGACTTCGTGCATAAACAGACAACTCTCTTCCTGCCAATGGGCTTCGATAACTAACTTAAATGAAACTAAATAAGCAAAAACCTAACACGCTTTTTAATGGATGTTATCTGGCTCAAATCTATGGGGAGTCATTAGAGATCAAATTCTGTGCGATCGCTTCAATTTATATAATGCTAATATCTGTATTCGGAGGAGCTGTCGTGATTATAAACATACTCCCAAACCGTCTGATGTTCAGCATTACGACAGATGCACATCTAAACTACGGGTAAACGAGATAACACAAAATAGTCGGAGATATGTGAGGCTTGCCAGACCATTGGGACAACGCGTCTGATTAAAGCACTACAGTCGCCACATTGCGCCGTGTTCGATGCGGGTTCCCTACAAAGCGTTTTGTCAGATAGCTAACGCGCGCTGTACGACAGAGCGCTTTAAAACAAATATGATTTTGTACTCAATATATAATCGAAGTATGCATTAGATATAAAACTAAAAGTACCAATAACTGTTACTGCATAGTAGCTATAGATCACATTAGCGCTCTGAACGTATTGTTAATTTTTATTATTCAAACCCCGTCATATGTTTTACAAGGCAGTCGATTTAATTTTTATTCATGCGTGATCGAATAGGCCAACGAAATTACGTGTGTATAGAAATCTCAAAAAAAAAATGCTAAATCGGCTCTAAAAGAAAATGTAACATTATTGTGTATTTATATTAACAAAATGCAACCAGTCGCCTACCTTGAATCCGGTTGTCGAGTACGTGATGCAACGAATTCGACGCGCACTGAGCGAGCGTTTGAATTTAGAAACAAACAACGTATATTGCACGCGTTAGATCCGTCGCTTGAGGCTCCTATCGAACACGACGCGGTATAAATGTAGCGCTTTAAATCCACCAATGCACAATAATTATCATAATTATTATGTACGCGAATGAAATACACAGACGCTTCCTGAATTAATTGCGATAAAATGGCAGCCAAGCAGCGTATTTGAAACAATAAGATGTACATTCGTCACGTAGATTAACACGAGTCAACAACAAGTAGTAATGCTTATAGTCATGACAGTCGCGTGTCGTCTCTGTGACTCATCTAACTAACAAATTATTATTATTCAGAATCACTATCTCCCAAACTAATGCAGTTAGATTTCTTATTCAGGATGGCTCTTAAAAAAAAAGAAGCATCTGCATTTTTAATCAAATACTAATCAAATAAGCCGGTTCATTAATTTATATAAAATCCATCAGGAGGGGCCTGCTGAGAAATGTATGACTCCCGCATGAAATAAAATTTGGATTTGCGCCACAAATGTCTTTTAACCTTATAAATCATTTAGCCATTATACATGTGCAATTGAGTGAAGCGTCTGGAAATAATAATAAAACAAAAACCTTGCTCGCATTATCTTTGCTTTCATCCTTTGACAGTATGGAGAATGCCTTCGATTTATCTGTCGTTATTGAAAGGACTCTAATCCTGTTCTCGATTAAGTTGATCCCTTGTTTAAAAGGCATGTATATGTTCATGGATTATTCCTTTTTTCTATAAAATCAAAACATCGTGTCTAACAAATCAATATACTATAATAACAGTGCGGACTTGGAAATGAAGTCTCGGGCGAGAATTATTGACGTGATAATTTTGAGACGCACAAGAGTCAGCATTCATTTGCACAGCGCTTAATTTGTGACCGCTTGGTTCTGACGCAGTGGCAGAGAAGGTCCCTAAACGCATTTCTGAACTCTTGATTAAGCACTGTGTAGACGATTGGGTTAAGAGTGCTGTTCGCATATCCCATCCAGAGAAATACAGAGTATAAATCGTAATTGACGTCTTCTCCAGGGGAGAAGATGAACGGTCTCATAACGAACAACGTGAAATAAGGCATCCAGCAAACTGTGAATGCTCCCATTACTACTGCCAGTGTTTTCGTGGCTTTATGTTCGTCCACGGCACGTGAAGTATTACTTCCGTCTATCTTCGGTAAATTGCTGATTCTCTTAGCCTGCTCTCTCGCAATTCGGAAAATGCGGAAGTACGTACACAACATGATAATCAACGGTAAAAAGAACGTACCTAGACCATCGATTAGCACATAAGTCCCGTTGCTGACGTCGAAGTTACAGTTGGTCGGGTCGTTAATATTTTCTATGTTCCCGTCTAGAGTATTCCATCCCATGTGAATCGGTAAAAATGAAACAAGGAAGGAGACACTCCAGATTACCACTAATGCAACGGAGGCTTTCGTAGTTGTCATAATGCTTGGGTACCGCATAGGTCTTGTGATAGCTATATAGCGGTCTAAACTAATGGCAAACAAATTTAAAATCGATACTGTACAAAGCAGCACATCCATGGATATCCATATATTGCAGAGGACGACACCGAATGGCCAGGATCGTTGAATCTCGTAAATTGCAGAAAACGGGAGGACCAGGAGACCGACCAGCATATCAGATACCGCCAATGAGACGACGAAGAAATTGGTAACGGTTCGCAACTTTCGATTCACCACTGCAGCAAGGCATACAAGCACGTTTCCGAGAATGGTTGCTATCGTTATCGCAACCAGGATGACACCAATAAGCGCTATGATGATAATAGGGCGACTGTTGCCACTGCTGATACCACTGGGCGAATTCACCCCGTCCACTGCGGAGTGGTTATCCGATGAAGATACAGCCGCCACGTTTGGTGATATTAATGTATAGTTAGCCTGGATATCGATAGTCAGGTCAGACATGTGCCGGGACATGATACCGACTCGTCCACAGTCAGTCTACACATAGGTGTTGATCAGCCAGTTGCGTCCACATCATATACGGCTACGTCGATGAATTCACGCGAAGGACAAAAAATGTGAAAAGAACCCATCGTCAATTAAACCACGATAACTCGATTACATGTGTACGTCGACAGCTAGCAACATTTGGCTTATGTAGTACTAGAGTAAGACCTAGTGCTCCAGTCATGACACATACGCTCCTGCTATGGAATACTAATAAGCGACTCTTATCCTATTTATCTTCTCGCTTGCCTAACGACCAACTCTCGCGGGATTAGCATTTTTTTCTCCTGAATCTCGCAGGGGTATTGGATCTGTTGACCGACCGCTTCCTGTAACACTGGGTACACGATCTGTCGAGCGGAGCCTAGAGTGTCGATGATGTATACAAATATCAAATCTCGCAGCGCTTTTGCAAAAAATAAAAGCAGTAGCCACTCGAGAGTATGATCACGTGGCTTGTACATGCATAATACATGACGGCTGACGGTTTAGATGAAATCGAAATGTAGCTCCAGGGTAAAACCATTAAACACAGTGTAAAAATTAATTTCATAAACATAAAAAAACTTACGTTTTAATTTAATATAGAGCTATGGGATAATAAGATTCTCCACGCTCCGTTCATACCGCCGGAAACCATAAAATGAACGTGAAATTCCACAACATTTGAATTCTAATATCATTTAGACATGCATCAACATTTAAAATACATTTAACATGATACATGCGTGAATGCAATCCGTTCATCGTAATTTATGGGCGTAATAGAATTAATAACTGCTGATATTAATTATGTATAGTTACAATGCCCAAAACGATCGTAACATTTCTATCATTAAATTTTATTTCGATAAATTCTCTCCTTTTGGCGATTTCGATTTTATTTTTATTTTCATTTTATTATATTTTTCAGTAATTATTGATTATTTAGTAATGACTCGTCAGTTTCAAGGTTAAATTATTTAGTGTGTATATGGTATAATTCATCATATATATATATATATAAAATTACAATATTTATATTCGGTTATTTCATCGAGTTTATTCATGTGGCGTCCCAAGGTATAGTAAAAAAAGATTATTCATACAATATTGTTAAGCTATTTATATTATGATATAGGTTACATCAGGGTACTTACGTTTGTGCAATAAAGAACGTCGTCGCCCTATATACGAGTAGATGGCAATTATAAGATAAGGCAGCGTTCGAGCTTCCTTTTTTCAATATATATCCGCCTCTAGGAAAAATAACGGTTATAAGAAAACACATATATGTTGTTTTATGAAAACTACTATTAACAGCTGGAGTTTTAAGTTATTGATAACCAGAATCGAACTTCAACGTGGCAGAATAATCTAAAACGTATAAGTTAATATTATTATTATCTATTGCTTTTAATTTGTTTTTAATTTATATTTTCGTTTCAAATCATATGTCCTTGACCCAACGTTACAGCCGGCGTTGTACTCGAGCCGTTTGAAGTCATTTAAAGTATGCCATTGATGTTGAAATGAAGTTATACGACTAACGAGTCCAGCAGTTCATGGGAATTGCGTAGGTTAATAGGAATCAGATGATTTAGATGTACTTTTGAGGTGATTCTTAAATAATGCAATGGACATAACGCGCCGTACTCGATGCGCGCGCAACTATAAGCGGAATAATTGTAGCACTCATATTTGTGGGGCTCTCCATTTCAAATTGCCATTAGATAATTACTAATACGCATTACATGTGCTAATAAGAGTGGACTGAAGCTACAGCTATCACCGTGAACACTGTTGATGCAATATTATATTGGTGTGAAATATCTCGTGCATTTATTCAAGAAAGCGCGAATTTGATACAAATGTGATAAATTAATTGGTGTTATATACTTGACATTGTTTACCAACTGACCTTGCCGAAATTATAAATGACATTTAGTTATATATAATTATATACTTCAATTTACGAGTACAAGTTAAAATTCCAATTCACTTTGGCTTTGTTTTACGCTAAACTGTTCAGTAAATGAGGAACGCTGTCGGTTCTGAGTCCACGCGTCGTGTACGCGTTTAAAAAAGTGTGTTGGATGTAAGGCTGTAATACATTTAAAATAAAATATTTGATTCGTGATATCATTCGCTGTTTGTTATTATCATTTGGTCAGATTTCAATGGTACATACACAGATTAATAAACTACGCATTCCATTGCGCATTTTTGATCAAATTCTAAAAATATATATTTTTAAAGTTGTGAATTGCCATGTCCATTATGTTGTCAAGTATGGTATTGTGTGTTGTTTTGCACACTTCAGTGCGTCTGTTAGTGAATACATCGAATATATGACTTGATATGAGCACAAAAGTCCGTCTAATAATGCGATCGATGAATAAATCCCGTAAATTCAAATGACAAGAAATAAAGTCAAATTGCCTTCACTCGCGAACAATCATTTGTATATTTACATGGCACGCCGTTGCAGCGTTGACTCACCCTTATGGCGTTTTTTGTGGAAATGTATCTGATGAGCAGTAAACACGAGTTACCTGGTAACGCCTGTCCCCTGGCTAAACGTTTTCGTGTTTTTTTTTTGTTTTTTTTTTATTTCTTATTTTAAGTATCTTCACCAATTTCGCAAATGAATTCCTGTAAATGTTGTCAAGTACTATAAACACGAAGTAAACTAACCACCTCCCAAAGGAACTACGCTGTGATTGAGCAATGTACTCGCAATCATAACCATTATAGCCCGAAACGCTGTTATTCGCTCGGAGGTCGCCAATAATAATATATATCACATTCATTGCCGTGGAGGCGAATAAGTTCGTTGACTCTAGAGGTCATCAGCTTATCAGCCTCCGCGATGTTGGCGATGATTATGACGATGATCTACATACTAACTAATCAAGGTGAGTTAAAATTTACAATATCGGTTATCTCTGTTGAACCATCCGTATCCAATTTTCGTGATTTCGCTCAGAATAATAATCAATTACCGTCCATTTTTATGACGCCCAATAGCCGCGTTGAAGATTAAGAATACGTCTTAATTGCAAAATTTATTCGGAAAAAAAATATTATTGAATCTGTCATGCTCTGTCCGATATTACTACCTGGCTATGTTACTATTTATGATAGAGAGACGTATGCTCCTTGATATATATATGTATATTATATTTGTATATCACTATGCCGTCGCTTCTATGTTTCTGCTCTATAAGATCCTCTCACCACGTTCAAAGGATTTGAATGGATTTTGTAACTATTCACCGATTTCAATAAACATCCCCAACGAACATGTTCCTGCTGCTCCATCTGTTACCATAGTAACCTTGAATTGAAATGCACGGGACGTGAGATGTGTTCGAGGAAATTTGTATTTGATTTCTGCGTCATTGGGCAATTCGCAGACGCGCACATAACAAATAATCTGTAAATCTACAACGATATGTGCACCGTGGAGTGAAGCATCGTCGACTCTGGCGAATTTCCTGAGTTTAATTGTTACTAAAAGAATATATGAACAAATACACTCAACGCGCCCTAGGGCACTAAGGACGAATGTTTCTTTTTCAGAATGTAATTTTCTTTCACGAGAATACCAGGTAAGATTGTTTAGACAGCTCTAGGCGTTGTTATCGAACCATTTCGCGACCATGAACTTAATATCATGAATATATGATTTTTCCAATTGTCCCAGGGTTTGCAATTAACTATTGACCCAATTTTACCTCGTAAAAGGTTAAGTTTGTTGAGGAAAATTCTCACGGGAATATGTGACTGCCAATGTTCAATCCTAAAGTCAAAGGCCAATAACGAAACAATAAGCAACGTTTGGAAAACGGGATGAACGATGATATTGACCCGGGCATGGGGAATTTCGTATGATGGCAATCTATAAATGACGATCTTGTTAAATTTTGCGATATCACACTGGGTCGTTTTGAGATGTGTTTTGGGTGCTGCTAATATTCAATATAATAACAAACTGACAATAACATGAGCAGTATCTACCACTCACATTGTGACTGAAAATTGTGGTTGAATAGTTCGGCAAACATGAACACCCTTCACATGCCATGGTATCTGTTCATCAAGTCCAGTGCAAACACTTTAGTAGAATAGTTCTGCCAACCACATGCACACTTTTAATGAAAAAAAAATGTTAAGTTAAACATTTGTTAAGTCCAGTGTGACCAGCTCAGGTGTTCAGTTCTACGGGCAATATGCGCCTTTCCATTCCAGTGTGAATTTTCCAGTGAGACAATTTTCATAAGCACTCTTTCCGTGCAATAAGTTTCATTTGGTGAGTCCAATGTGAACTGTTCAGTGATTTAATTCTGACTACCACATGTACCCCTCTAATGGAATAATTTTCATTCGTCAAGTCCGGCGTAAACAGTTCGGGGCTCAGATCCACGGACATTATGCACCTCACCAGAGGTGCTTTCCAGTGTGCACAGTCTGTGGAATAGTTTCGCAAATGCACTCTCCGCATGCAGTAGTTTCCATTCGTGAACAGCTCAATGGTTCAGTTCTCTGAACAAAATGCACCTTTCCAAAACTGCTTTCGATTCAGCAGATCCAGCATTCACACTATAATGGAATAGTTTCGCCCACCACGTGTATACTTCTTATGCAATGTCCTTCATTCAACAATTCTCGCATGAACAGTTATGTGGTCCAGTTCCGCCAACCACCTGTACTCATCCAATGGAATGGTTTCTAATTGTCATGTTCAGAGCAAAGCGTGCTTCGTATGTACACTTCTAAATCAATGGTTTCTACTCGTCCAATGTCACCTCATGCACCTTTTCCATGCAATGTTCTTCAGCCATCAATCATGTGAACTGATCGGCGATTTAGTTCAACCAACTACGTACATTCTTCTGGTGCAATGAGTTTCATTTATAAATTCCAATGCAAACTCATCAGTTGAATAATTCTGCTGCCAACCACTTGCAATGATTTTCATTTGG